ATAAGCTTTCGAAAATCGCGATATTTACTATGAAATGTAATTGGGACGCGCGTCCCAAAAACAATCTTTTAATCAGTAATTTCATAATTTTCGAAAGCTTATTATTCGAAGGATATTCATGTAAACGTCTTCAAACTTTGTATATATACTTACTAATTTTGAGGTGGTCTTTTTAGTTATTTGGTTCATTTCTCAATTTGGGCACTTTTTAACACTCGTCGCCAGTCCACTCATCAACTTCGGAATGGCTAATTTGTAAATCAAAATTATATTGCTGACGAATATCATTACTTTCATTCTCGTTTCCCGAGCCTGCGATCCTCGGGAAAGAACGCGAGCCTCTGGGGTAATCCGTTGCCGGAAGCCATGAGGAATCCTGGCTAAGATTGAACTACGCATTCCATTTCAACGGCCAATCAGATTCCTCCCTGAAACGGATTATCCCAGAACCTCGCGTTCCTTCCCGAGGATCGCAGGTTCGGGGAACGAGATTGCATTACTTTTTGAGTTGTAAAATGAAAAACAAATTCTTAAAAGAGTGATAAGGATCTAGTAATGATTGACGGATGCATTACAAAATGTACAGCTAAATATGTATATAACTAAACTTAATCATGCAAAATTTTCGCTGGTTTTACTGGATGTAATTGGTAATTCCAGCTAGCTTTTAGTTTATGCCTGCAGGGGATGATGGGAAGTGAGGTATCGTATTGCTGATTATACTGAAAAATTTCAATAAAAACTACCGAAACAACTGAAATATTTCAATATTTACAAGTATAAGCTATCACTCCGTATTTACACGGCCACCATTTTTATTTTTTCAGCATAATCACCAATGTGGGAAGAGATTATTTCGCTGGCCTCAAAGTGACAAAACGTAACAAAGCAACGGTTTTACTAACACTAACCCTACTCCAAACACCAACTCTGACCCTAACCTAACCCTACCACAAATTCGTTTCTAAACCAATCTTGAAGAAAAAAGTTTTGACGAAATGTCATTCTGAGGTCAGCGAAATAGTTGATACCACCAATGCGATACCTTACGTCAGTTTACGTCCCATCGTCCCCTGCACGCATAAACTAAAAGCTGGAATTTCCTATTGGTTAAGGCTGTTTTCCACTTCAACCATATCCCTGGACGTATATATAGCATTCTCTTTTGTGTCGAAGATCCACTCTAGTGCTCAGGAATCAAAGAAATACTATACGCTTCGGCACGATACGGTTGAAGTGGAAAATGGTTCCGTATTTTAGTATCCTATGTAGGTAATCATAGGGTGATGCGGTTTTTCGGTAAACCGGAAAAAAACGATTTTTTTTTAAAACCGAATTACTCGATGTTACTTTTGGAGAAAAACCGGAAAAACCGAAAAAAGCCCGCTGCATCCCCGCGTAGCCGTCTATCCAAAGAGATTGACCGCTATTTCTCGGCATTCCCAGTGATAGACGGAGATGACGATCCACTTCAATGGTGGAAATTAAATGCAAAGGAACTACCGTTGCTCTGCCAGTTATCGAGAGGGTATCTTGCCATCCAAGCAAGCAGTTCGCCGTCGGAGAGACTTTTCAGTAAAGCGGGGCAAGTTAGCACGCCGGCACGAGCACAACTTAAACCTGAGAAAGTTGACAAACTTGTGTTCCTGGCGGAGAACTTATAGTGGTTTACGCAATATTTCAATATTTGTACATAGTTTATTGTAAAAATTATATCTTGTACACTGCATGTTCCTTTTATACTTCGTAGCAAGGGTTAATATAATTGTTTTTTAAACCGAAGTCTTGCGTGAGTACTGAGTAGCGTGTTGTGTCTTTTTTACCTTAGTTTCGATTTTCGAACGTATTTTTTTAAAAAACCGGTTCACTCGGTTTTTTCGGGTTTTTTTGGTCGGTTTTCGGTTTTTTGTAGAAACCGCCTCACCCTAGGTAATCATCATCAGTAATCATCATCATTAATTTTCATCTGTGATGGAAATTAAATTATTTTTTTCATTAGTTTTACAATAACAAATTGAAGGCACAGACAACAGGACTAATAAAGTCCCAAATCATTATTATTAAATATTTTTGTAGTTGTAAAAAGTTTGTTATTTGTTCTCATCAGTACCAATCACACTGGCGCAGATCTAGACCGTTCGCGTTTACAGGCAGACGTTACCCCGTCGTCCGTCTCCGCGTTTTATCTAGACCCGTCCATTGCTCACTGTGAAGTCAATTTACAATTCTAAATTTTCCTACTTGACCTTTTCCGACCTTATACATGGGTAATGAGATCACAGCCGTGTATGTCTCAAATAGCATCCTTCTATGACCTTATACGGAAATGTATTTGCGCATAAAACACTAAACATTCTCTTGACGCCCTGTTTGGCCTCACTCGCGAAGGACAAACTTCTCAAAACATCTGTACTTTGCTTTCGTGCTCTCTAGAAATGGCTGGGTTGGTCAAACCGAAGAAATACGATTGGAAGGACTCCAACTTGGCGTTGTTCGGCTCAGATCTCGAGAAAAAGGTATGAAGAATTTGTAAAATAGGAAAATTCCTCGCACATTTTCCAGCGAGCATATTTGCTGTCAAAGTAAACTCGTGTCAAAAAAAATGAAAATGCTAATCGCTTGTATTAAAACTGCGAGCCCAAATATTAATAGTTTATAGGGTTGCTATTTTATATTAATATGCGATCATGCGGCTATATCGGACTTATTTTCTGCACTGGCTTTATATAGCTAGCCTGAATTTCAGACGGACTCTCGTTGAGATGTCTGCGAGTGGCCTGTGTGAATTCATGGACGGTGTCAGAATAGGTTGTGCAAATAATAACCAAATTTCGGTTCATATGGTTGTAAGCACCTGCAAAAATACATGGAGAACTTCAACGTTTTGAGCGAAATCCCTTTCGTCGTGTCCTTGTATTATTTTTTTTATGCATTTGCATCCCTTTCAACCGAAGTTCTGTCAGAATTCAGGCTATATCTTTGCGACAATTACCATGCAGTATTATTGAATATACATCTGCGTGCTCTGATTAAGGTATTCATTGCAAAACGAAACTATATCGGTCCTCTTGAACAGCGTGTAGAGTTCATGACGAACAGCATGGTTTCAAAATGTCTTTGAGTCGTCGTGTGTTGTTGCGACTGATGTTGTAGCAGCTCCCAACGGTGCGTGAGAACTCTATTTAATATTGAGTGCGTTTTGGTAAACCGTTAGATGATGGTCAACTATAAACTGTTAACAGCAAGAATAATTATGCCTGTGGTTTATCCAAACGAGCACGCTCTTCTGTTATCAGAAGCTGCATTGACCGATTGGAAAACATTTAAATTAACGAGCGACTAAATATTTTTCAGTCCACTTTAGTTGTCAGACCTGACATGACTACAACTTACGTAAATTATGCATGACATGAGGCTAAATCTTAATCCTATTCCTAAAACGGAATGTTTAAAAATGAGCTTAGGTTACAGAGGTGCCAAATTATATGGAACAATTTACCAATTGAAATTAGAAACACTGAGAGGTTAGCAAGTTTCAAATCGCCTCTATACGTGCAACTAGCCTGATAGTGATACGATTTCATTTGTAAATCACTTATCCTTAGGCTTGGCTTTGTAATTTTAAATTTTGCACGCCCCCCTTGAAAATCAATTTACATTGAAGGGGTTAGCGTATTTAAATAAAGTTTACCTCACTTCAACACTTACAGAGGCAAGGAATTTAAACGGCGTCTCTAAATTCTATCAATTGATCAATATAGATAGAAGATAATCTTGATAAGAAAGTTTCGGATTGGTAGGGATTCGCCGGGAAGATATAGTTTTATAGCTAGCATTGCCTGTCAAGTTTTTGAGCAAGTGTGGACTGATCAGATCGATCTCAAAGTATGCTACGTGCGCACGGCCGCTATATAAATGCATACGGTTTGGCTCGACACCCAGGGTTTGAGGTCTCAACTCACTGTCTCGCGGTTTAGACTTTAGGCTCTGAATCTCATTGAATAACAATATTATTTTATTGCCCTAGTTTGATCAGCTCCATTCGTAGATCCTACAATGATGAACTGACAAGTGGTAATCCGTAAACAATATACTGTATAGTCTGTGTTTGCTTTTTCTTGAAGTGGCGACACTTCCTCTCCTGACGTGGATTGCATCTGTTTACTTTAGCCACAGGCTTTTGCTTAAGCTTACTTGAATTTAGCAGAAATTGCACTTTAATTATGCCAGTTTTGAGCATTACAAGTATTTATCAGTGTTGAATTTTCTTCGTTTTCGAACATTCTTGTAAATCGCAAGGTTTGCAGACACCCAATTGTCAAGGGTTTTCCCAGTATATTTTTGAGACCTCGAGGTTAGAGACTACAGATGTTATGTAAGGTCTGATAACGAAAGGAATTAACATTATTTTCTCGCTTTGATAAACTGTCCGTTGACAGTACCACCTGCTGAATACAAATTCACTTATAGAAAAACCCTCCTGTTGTGCAATGCGTATTCAATGTATATATGGCTGGCAAAATGTATGTGATGTGTAAGTGAGAGTCGGGCAAAATATGGTTAGCAATTGACAGTAATATATTGCATGCACGACCATTTTATTAAATTCTAATATGTCTGTACAGACCCAAGGCTGAAGGCCCAAGCACGAATCGAATGTCGCGCGGAATACGCGAGCAATACCAGCGGTATTGAAGTATTATTTTTAGCAACAAATCTTCGTCAAAAATATGATGCCTGTAAAATACCATATAGCTATGCCCATTTTACTATATGTATATACGTAGGCTAATTTTGATATTCACTTGTTTGTATTTCATCACTTAGTGCATGACGTCACATCTCTTTAAAAACATCCTGACAGACTTTATATTATACTTTAATTAAATGATAAAAATATTATAGTACTAATAATTATTCATTAATTAAGGTTCCACAGCTGTTGGCTACCCATAGATATACTAAAAGCCCTGTCACACTATTGCGTATCGTACTAGCGTATGCCAGCGTATGAAAAATATCACTCATACGCCGGTATACGCTGACATACGCTATAGGGGTACGTTAGGCATAGGTTGTATATGTTTCAAGCACGGTCGCATACGCTGGCAGCAAATACGGCGAGGCAGAAAATGTTTTTAAGCATTCGGACGTATGGTTTATACAATAAGCATACTCTAGACACACGCTGAATACGCTAGAGGTACGCCAGATGTACGGTACTCATACGCTGGCATTTCAAGGATTTTTGTGTTAATGAAAATGATTTCATTAATTTTCATACGCTTCTCATACGTTTCTCTCGTACGCAATAGTATGACAGGGCCTTAACGAATAGTTCAATTCTCTTGTGCTTGTCAAATGTTTTATATGCATGAAATGTTTCAGCATATATGCATAAGATATAAAGCAATACTCTTCAAAAAAATGAGTGCATAATAGCATAGTGTATCTTGATACTATGGAAACTTAAAGAAGTCATTGTGTTATGTTTTTGTCTGGGTTATTGTTAATTTGCGCATGCTCACAGTGATTGAGCTCATTGTATAACTATTGTACAATGAAACGGTATTAACTACTCATTGAACTATAAATAAACTGGAAGGCTAACTGCTATGATGAAGGCTTATGATTTGATGAAGCCAAAATAGTTTTCCTGAGTTATGAGCAGAAATGCTTGACTCCAAACGTCGGGCTATATATCAAATTGAAGCTATTGAACATTGCTATTCGGTGTGGAAATTTCAAGACTTCAGCGAAAAGAAAAATATTTTAAAAATACAAAAACAACTGCAAAACGGCAAATTATCGGTAATTATGTTTGTAGTTTTTCAATACTTCCCTTTTAGCTAAAATCTTGAAATTTCTACACCAAATAGCGTTTTTCAATAGCTTCAATTTGATATATAGCCCAACGTTCAGTGTTGAGTATTTCTGCTCATAACTCAGTAAAACTTAAATGCACTGGCTTCAATCCCCCCCACCTGAGTTAGCCTTCCAGTTTATTTATAGTTCAATGGATACAACACGGACGCGAGTGTTAAATGAATCAATTCATATGCAAACTAGTTATAAGCACTCTTGTATGCATCAGAAGAGTCGCAAAAACTGGTGTTTATAACTACTTAGCATTTTCTTGATTTCATTTGTATGAGATTGACAAGGGTATACATAAACTATGGTATACATGTTCAACCTCGTACCCAGGGCCTGTCCGCCCGATTTTCTAATATGGCCATATTAGAAAATCGGGCGGGCAGACACTGGGTTATGGGTTGATACATGTTATGTTTGAAATTTGCAAACCTCATTAATGAATTATTCATGAAGAACAATAAAGGATATAAAATATTTAGGTGTGTCTGGTGGTAGCAGCAACTGTTGGGATCATTATATATCGTGTGGTGTCACGTGTTGATATATTTGATAGAAAAGGATCCATCGGTCCCACTTTGGCCAGTGTGACGTCTTCATTTTTAAATACAGTCTGTATCATGGTGATGGGAAAGGTGTGTTTTGATTATTTCAATTCCATCTGTAAATAGTATTACCTGCATTAAAAATATATATTTACTGGTCTTGCGATGCGCACTTAAGGTGGCTCAATACAGTTTTTTAAACAATGGAAAATTCACGATTTAAATGCGTATTTTTGGACAATTATAACTTGTTGATAAACAAAAAGTACCTTACTTATATAAAACAACATCGAAAGAGATTGAATTTTTGCACAAAAGTTACGCAACTACCGTTGCTATGGCAACAGTGACGTTTCAAGATGGCGGTTATTTTGGCTTTAAAGTAATTTTTGGTGTAACATCGGTGACCCTCAAATTTTATTTTAAAAAATAATTTCTCTTAGTATATTGAATTACGTTGACAATTTTAAAAAAATTCTGTTGAGCCGAAATTTTTCAAATCACGTAAAGGTGATTATTGATAATAATTTTTTTGGGCTCCACAGAATAAATGATTGTACTAAGAGAAATCATTTTTTAAAATAAAATTTGGGGGTCACCGATGTCGTTCACGAGTTAAGTTACTTTATGGCCAGAATTTCCGCCATCTTGGAACGTCATTGTTGCCATAGCAACGGCAGTTGCGTAACTTTTGTGCAAAAATTCAAACTCTTTAGATGTTGTTTTATATAAGTAAGGTACCTTTTGTTTATCAAAAATACGCATCTAAATCGTGAATTTTCCATTTTTTTAAAAACTGTATTGAGCCACCTTAAACTGTTTATTTACTTTGCTCATTGTATCAGACCCAGGGCTGCAAATTACTGTCGGACATCGGACAATGTCCGACTAAATTTGGCAAATGTCCGAGCAAAAGTAATTTTGATCAGACATTGGTCCGATCACAAAAAAAATTGTCACGTTACACATTTTTTTTGCTGTGACAAAATCCGATTGCAAATTCACAATTTATTTGCATTTTGCAATAAAATTTACGAGGCATTCCAGCGTTTTACTTAACGTTGCGCCGGAATGGCTATACATACTTGTCTCGTGACTTATATATATCTTGTGACGTATATTTAGTGTCTCTTTCTTATAAGAGATTTATATTTCAACCAGAAAAACTTACTAACTTGTACATGATTACTGAAGTACAATAATCAATATGGCCGACTTCTATGATCCATATTTATACCTAACTATCCATACTAATCTATTATGCATATATTAACTGTACATTATCACTAAACACTATATCCCTTTTTTTCTTCTAATTTTTTTATAATTAAAAATGTTAAGTGTATCTAACTGTTAAGTATGTCTAACTGTTCGCAAAAGACAATGTTTTAGAACAATTATTTTTAACTTCTAATTGATAATCTTAATGTCTAATATATACTGTTTGTACTTATCGTTACGATGCCTCTTCATAAATCAAGTCTCTCTGGAGCTCTTCCTTTTGTACTTCTGGATGAACGTCTTGGTTCAGCAACGACCAACGATTTATCTATCACTTGTTCATTAGTGTCCGGTTCTTTGAAATGTTCCGACTCGTCAATATGTTCATTTCCCGATGGTAAATCTGATTCTTCAAATTTTCTAACGTGTGAAGAATTGCGTTTGTAGCAAACACCTTCACCTGATTTGATTGTCACTTGTGAACCATTCACGTCAACAATCTCGTAAGGATCATGTTCATACATAGTTGTTGTCTTACACGTTTTACGCTGCTGCAGTAGAACTTTATCATTAACTTTGAGGTCAGGATATTTTGCATTCTTCTTGTCATCCGCATATTCCTTTCCTTTCTGTTTGAGAACTGCATCCCTATCACGTACTTCTTCATCACATTTATCAAAAGGAACCAATTCAGGTATCTTTGTGCGAAGACGTCTCTTGAATAACATCTCATCTGGGGCTTTTCCAGTAGTCCCATGAGGTGTTGTACGATACGCTGTTAGGAATTTATTAAGTTCCTCCTCTAAATTTCCTCCTTGCGCATAAGAAATTTTAATTACTTTGTTTAAATTTCTCATCTGTCTTTCGATTTCAGCATTTGCTTGTGGCCATAATGGAGTTATACGGCGATGATAAATTCCATTCTTCTCACAAAACTCCTCAAACTCAGAAGACACAAATTGTGGACCGTTATCAGACGTTAACTCACATGGTAATCCATGAGTAAGAAACATTCGATCTAAAGACTGAACAATCTTTGACGATGTAATAGATTTCAGAATATCTATTTCAATCCATCTACTATAATAATCGATTATTGCTAGAATGTAAATATTATTGTTTATTGGACCAAGTAAATCACAAGCAATTATTTCCCATGGAGATTCTGGTAAACGTGTTCTTACCATTGGTTCTGGACGAGAAGGTAATTGCACCACCTGACATCCATGACATGTACGACATTCTTTTTCTGCCTCCTTATCAATATTTGGCCACCAAACTTTACTTCTTAAACGCTGTTTGGTCTTAACGATTCCTTGATGTCCCTCATGTGCCAAATTCAGGACCTTCTTCTGTAATATCTTCGGAATCACTAGGCGTGTACCACGAATTACTAACTTTCCCAAAACACTAAGTTCTTGTCTGACAGATCTATATGCTACATCTACCGATTCCCATTGATCATCAGTCAATATACAAGATCTAACCTTGGAAAGTTCTGGATCCTTGTCTGACTCTTTCTCCACTTCTTGAATTGTGATGGCATTTGGAACTGCATTCTTTGCCACAAAACGTATATAATCTTCTGCATCGTCGGTACTAGGGCTTGTGTTCATGG